AAAAGTATGAGAAAAGGGCAAATTTTCTGGATTATTACATAATTATAAAATCCTGCATTCCTGGCACATGTATATGGGAAACTGAATCCTGGAGCATTTAATACATAATTTTCTGAATTATTCAAGTAAAAAGACATTACTGACAGTGATTTTTCTGTACATAAATCTTGGAAAAAACAAGGTTCTGTATTTTGCTATTAATACACCTTGACCATCAATACCAAAAAGTCATTTCAAATTTTCATGAAAAAAAGCTTAAGACAAAACAGTTATATCTTCTTATCAAATAACCTCAGCTTTTTCCTTTTACCTTTCTATCTTTCAATATCATTTAATAACTTTATCTAACTACTTCTAGTGCAATTTCCTTACAAAAAAAAAAAAAAAAAAAAGAAAACCTAGAAATTTAAATGGACTTAAAAGTTTTGACACAAAACTGCTTTAAAAGAGATTTCCTAAATCTATATTCTCCAGCTTGGAGTTTATGAAGATGAACATGTGCCATGAACTCATTGACTACAGATTTATATACCATTTCCTGTATTTTCTTGTGAATTTTGTTACATATAGATGGCTCCACATGTACTCAGCCAGCAAGGAAGCTATCAGTAGGCCCTAGTGACCGCTCCTGATTTCCCATTCCTTGAAATTGCGGAAAAATGTGTTTCTTTCTAATACTACTGATATCAAGACTGTTATTGTTGTTATTGATATTATGATTATTAAATTGTTATTAATATCTTGGTAACATTAAAGACAATGAAATAATACAAAAGAAACTTTCCAAAAATCAAGGAAAAGGGTAAACAGGTGAGAAAGGTAGGACTAATAACGGACACCTTGCCAGCCGAGCATGTGTAAAGCAATCTGTGTGTAAATTATGATAAATTAACTTATATTAAAGTGGGTATGGCATATATTCTAGCCAACTGTGTTGAATGGGCTAAACAAAAACTTAAACCTACTAAGAGTACAGGAGGGGTTAACTCATTGCAATAAAACACATTATTTATTAGGAAACTGTTTATTTGTATAGCCCTGTTGATAGTGCAGGGTATAAATATAATTTATGAAGTAAGAAATGCATGAAACTGATATTTTACTGTATAAATTTATAATGGATATTACAGTTAAAGAGTATATATTACACAAATCCATGGATTTAGATATACCTATAAACCCATATGAGTTTTGCCTTTTAATACCCTCATGTTTATACACTTCAAAGTTTTATGTGTCTAGCTATATCAATAATAATAAAAAACAATCATGTGTTAAAACAAATCTTTGTCACTAAAAGACTTTATAAAAAAAATAAAAAAAAATAAAAAAATATTCAGCTTGGGAACACAATATATCAATTCTTAGAGACAACCAGTTCAGGAATATTAGTGGGTCTAAAATAAATAAAACATATCACAGGTATATTCCCATAACAACAAGGAGTTTACAAGTACATGCTTACTATATAAACTAATACATCTTCATTATATACCTGTTGATAAGCATATACTGTCAAGATACATTGTATATTTGTCAAATACACAAATCAGCCTAAACGCATTGGAGTAAAAAATTGAGGTACAGTCTTTGTTTCATATTTTTATTAATTGATCATATATATTTATGTATGTATGTACATGTATATATATATATGTATATATGTATATATATATATATATATGTATATATATGTATATATATATATATATATATATATATATATATATATATGTATATATATATATATATATATATATATATATATATATATATATATACATATATATATATATATATATATATATATATATATATATATATATATATATATATATATATATATATATAAAACCCACACACATTGTTTTCTCGCCTTTTCTGATATACATTTCAGTAATTAAATTCTTTCAGAGTGAATAAGATGGATTGATTTGAATCACAAAGAAGAAGCCAAAAAGATATTAACCCATTGCTGTCGGATAATTTCTTCTGTGAATTTACTTGCCCCTAGATGGCCCCACAGGTACTGAGCCACCAAGGAGCCAATTCAGAGGCCTAAGTGACCACATGTGATTTCTTTGAGTTTTTAAGGACAAAGTTTCTTCTAATGCTGTTCTTAGCAATGTTTTGTATCATTATTGACTTTATGATTATTCAGGATTCATCATAATATCATCAACAATAATAACAGCCATAAAATATGAAAAAGAATCTTTCGGAAAATCAGGGAAACGGGTAAACAGGTTATACATGTAGAACCAGTAACTGGCTTCTTGGTGAACAGACATCTTTGTGGAGAGACAAGCAATGAGCAAGAAGTCATAGTGGACTGGCCTGTATTTCTGTTAACTCGGCAACAATGGGTGGAATATCAGAAATAAAAGTTAAATCTTTTTGGTAAAACGAATCATAAATTGATCACCATATTGCATTAAAATTGCAGTCATGTATACTATTGAAACTGAAGACCTGGCATCTGTTTTGGTGTGATTTTGCCACTATAGATTTAAAAGAAAATAATACTAGTTTTTGTACGAATAAAATGATGCTATGGTAATTACAACACTGAGAATAAAGAGATTGTAAAAAAAAAAAAAAAAAAATGGAGTGAAAATAGGTAAAGTTTATATAAAAAATGGGAGATAAAATGTAAAGAAAAAAAAAAATCTTGAGAATAAAATAGGAAAAAATACAGAGATGGACTGGAAATATTGGAATGAAACAATTATTCTTTTATTGATCAAATGGATCCACTTTGATCACAGATATCGACCCATAACACTTGTGATGCGGAGTGTTACATCACCTAAATCTCAAAAGCACAATATATGCAATAATTGAAATACAAAAATATCTCTCGGAATTACTTCACTCTGTTTATTAAAACCTGTGAAGTAAGTTTAGTATGTACCAAACAACCTTAACTGGTGGAAACTAGTATGTTCAGTCTAAACAGCCATCCATCACATAGCTAAAAAGTGAGCAAACGTCGCACTAATGAATTTGACACGCACCCTCTTTCTTGAAGAAGAGAATAACAACATCTATATTAATTCTCTTCCTCTGGATAAAACAGAAAGAAAGAAAGAAAAATATTACATTCATCCTCTCTTCCATTCTAATAATTCTTTACCTCCTTTCTCAAAAAGAAGACGAAGAAGAAGAAAGAAAAAGAGAATACGAATAAAGAAAATCAAAGAATAAGTATAAGAAAAAAGCCTCATCACAGATACACCGCATCCTCACCCATCTCACACTCCCTACACCCCCCCACCCCCCAAAATCTCTCCCTCCAGCCTCTCACTCGCCGCTGAACATCCGCGAGGACAGGTACCACAGAATGATCACGAAGAGGATGACGAAACCGGACGTGTAGCACATAACCTTGCGGTTCTGCCTTCCTGATGTGAGGAGATTCTTCACTCGGTTCAAGCTGCCCATCATCAACCCTTCGCCGCTCGAGAAGTCATTTCCCATCCCGTCCAGCAGCCGGTTGTGTTCGTAAGCTTCATTCTCGATGTCTAGTGCCAGCTACGGAAAATGAAAGGGTTTACTTCTATGGAAAATGGATTTTAAGGAGGCTGGGCAATTTCTAGGGTGGTATTTTGATAGTGCATATAAATACCTGACTAATAATAGTTATTTTTATTTTATGATGTAGTACATATATATACATATATATGTATATACATCATCCTTATTATATTTTATGAATATATCATGCAATAAGCATGAGGAGACAGAAGAGAGAAGAGAGAAGAGAGGAGAGAAGAGAGGAGAGAAGAGAGGGGAGAGAGAGAAGAGAGGGGTGAGAGAGAAAGATTTGATTTGATTTGATTTGATAACATTTATTTACAGAGCAGTGTACATGCACTGCAAAAAGCCAGGGTAAGATACCAAAGCATCTATCCAAACTGGCTGTGCTTCTATTTGTGTAGAGGGCCATTGGTCAAACATTAGTGTTACATACATGCCTGAAGGGCTGTTCTATTATCACAATATTAAAATATCATCTGACTGGTAAAAAACCTTTTACATCACTAATCATGTCAAAGACAAGACCAGTGTCTATAATAAAGTTAATATAATCTACAAGTGCTATTCTGTGAACAGTACTATTTGATCGATAGGATACAGTCTTTATGCAGCAGAGTAAGTAATGAGTGAGATTATGCGACTTGGGTTCCTTGCACAGTTTGCAATGGTGATATGAAACAGGTTTTGCATCCAAAACTGCATCCTGTACATATTGTATAGTGTACTGATATCCTATGCGTAGCCTAGTTAATGTAACCTGTTGTCTCCGAGACAGTCCGTAATAGACTTTATAGGGCTTGTCTAAATTTGATGTCCCAACAATACTCTCGTAGTGCCAGATAGTACCATGTCCGTCTTTTTTCATTTTTTCATTGGTCCATACCTGATCCTCATAATCTCTAAGACAGTTGATAACTCGTTTTTTTCATTTGATTGAGAGATAGCGGTATTACATAGTATGGATCTTCATGGGAAAGTGCTAACCTGGCTAATTGATCAGCCCTGTCACATAGTGATATTCCTATATGAGAAGGTATCCAGTATAGTGACACTTGGGTACCCCGTTCTGATAATTTAGAAATTTGGTGAAGGATATTCTTAGTTACCATGTTTTCTGGAGAGAAAGAGAGAGAGAAAGAGAGAGAGAGAGAGAGAGAGAGAGAGAGAGAGAGAGAGAGAGAGAGAGAGAGAGAGAGAGAGAGACAGAGAGAGAGAGACAGAGAGAGAGACAGAGAGAGAGAGACAGAGAGAGATAGACAGAGAGAGAGAGAGAGAGACAGAGAGAGAGAGAGACAGAGAGAGAGAGAGACAGAGAGAGAGAGAGAGACAGAGAGAGAGAGAGAGAGAGAGAGAGAGAGAGAGAGAGAGAGAGAGAGAGAGAGAGAGAGAGAGAGAGAGAGAGAGAGAGAGAGACAGACTAACCGATCGTAGGGTTGAGACTTTTCCTGCAAGGGCATATGACCTCTGCTGGTTTCGAGTATCTAGTTCCTCTTCCTCAGCACCTGTAAACAACATATATTTTATTTATCAAGTCATAAGAAATAAGCTTAAAGGTAGATGCTCTTCAATAATTTTAAATAGCATGAGTTTACTGGCAAAAACAATTTACATAAATACATACATACATATATACATATATATATGTATACATATATATATACATATATATATATATATATATATATATATATATATATATATATATATATATATATATATATATATATATATATATATATATATATATAATTATTTATATATATATGTATGTGTGTGTGTGTGTGTGTGTGTGTGTGTGTGTGTGTGTGTGTGTGTGTGTGTGTGTGTGTGTGTGTGTGTGTGTGTGTGTGTGTGTGTGTACACATGTCAAGCTACTTTTGCAGGATGCCAACCTATTACATCATGCCAGGATGACATGCACTATTGAGTCTCCTCTAAATTGTGTGCACTAAGCTTTGGTCCTGATTGCAGTTGCTGAGGAGAAACAGGGTTCTAGTCTTTATTAATATCTCATTGTCTAAATAATTATTTTTGCTGAAGTCAAGTGTAGAGTACTGGCACTGGGAGAAGGCATCACAGGATGGTGAAAAGGTAAATACACAGAATACCTTCGCATAATTAACAAATCTGTATGGGGTACCTCATTCACATCATATAATTTTCCTTATTTGAAAATTCTGATAACAACCAACACTGGTTAATATTCAAAACAGGAATAGGTGAAGGAGATAGAGCTATGACACATCAATTACCATTCTTAGCCATAAGAAAAGGCAAAGCTTCTGTCCTTTTATCAAAAGCCACAAATACATGCTTCTGTGGCAAAGTACTAAATTCGGTACCTCTCACTCCAGCAAACAAACTACCAACATACATATCCTAGTAAACTCGTCAACCTCACTCCCCGAATTAATAAGAAATAAGAACCCAATCTCAGATTTAACAATTAACAATTACAATAATCTAACAACTAACAAATACGATCAAGGAAGTTTCTTTAACAAACGCATCATACAGATCCCTCACGTCTATAAAATACGCCAAACCACTATTAAAATTAAAAACACAAACTCAAAATAATCTCATCCCATTAAAAAAATACAAAATGAACCGATAAAATAAGCTAAAAAAGCAGGAAAATACGCCGGAATTTCCTGCTGTCACTTACCGCCCCAGCTAGCCATGTTGGCAACTGTGACGTCATCTGTTGTGACGTCATCGGTTGTTTATTTATGTCTAGTTTTAAGGGATCACTATGCCATCGCCGGCAATTTTTTTTTCTTTGTTTATGATATATATATGACACAATTATATTATATTCGGTTACTATGGATGCATTGATTTGAGTTAAGGTAATATTTGAAGCAAAAGTGATTATTTAGTTAATGTAGGAAAAAAAAATATGTATCGCGTATCCCTACACATTTATTTTTTTTAAATCTTCTATTAAATTGCATGCATGGATTGTAATCATCAAACAGCACAATAATTTCGGTGTGACAAATGATTTTTTGGTGTAAGAGATGAGTTCTGAAGGAAAATGAGAATAAAAAATAGATATGAATTAATTGATAGTTTCCCCTAAAAAAACATTTGTAGAAAATGGATCCATATCTTTCCCATTAAGGTGCGTGACTATTTTATAATCTCTCTCTCTCTCTCTCTTCTCCACTCTTTCTATCTCTTTCCCACTCCCACCCCCTCTCTCTATCTTTCTCTCTCTCTCTATTTCTCTCTCTCTCTCGTTCTCTCTCTATCCCTTTTCTTCCTCCCTCTCTCTATTTCTGTCTCCCTCCCTCTCTCTCTCCCTATTCTTTTCTCTCTCTCTTCGTTCTCTCTCTCTCTCTCTCTCTCTCTCTCTCTCTCTCTCTCTCTCTCTCTCTCTCTCTCTCTCTCTCTCTCTAAAACAGGAACAGCTCTCCTCAAGATATCAGATAAGATCTATAGCAATATTGACAACAAGAGAATGTCTCTTTTTCCTAGACTAGACTTACCCAGGGCCTTTGGCAGTGTTCACCACGAGATATTAATCAACAAATGTTTCGAACTAAACACAGATCCTCCCTGGTTTCATAACTATCTTGTGAATAGGTCACAGCTGGTAAGAATTAAGAATGTTTTATCAACACCAAGAAATTATTTTGGTGTTCCTCAGGGATCTGTACTTGGCCCATTTTAAAAAATCTATGTGATCGATCTATTAGATTATCTTCCAGACTTTTTTTTGGTTCAATATGCAGACGACACTCAGTTGCTTCTGACTGGAAATCCTGATTGCATCTTAGAAGTGATAGAGCAGAGAATCTCTTGTTAACAGTAAAAATGCACTTTCAAAGAAATGGATTACTACTTAATGAGAAAAAATCTCAGTGCATATTTATTGGTTCGCGGCGCTATATGTCAAAACTACAAGAGAAAATTGCCATGGACATCAATGGAAATTCTATAACACCGAGCACAATTGTCAAAAACCTAGGAGTCTACTTTGATCAGTATATGTGCTTTTCAACTCGCATATTGATGAAATGCATAGAAAAGTAATCGGTACACTACTGTATCTTAATAGAATAGGACAGTGGTTTGAAACCGCCACACGAACAATGTTTGTACAATCATTAGTACTCACCATTATAAATTATTGCTTGAAAATATGGGGAACAACAAACAAAACCCAGATTAAACAAAAACTTCAAAGTGTTGCAGCGAAATGTGCCTTTGGCCGTTTAAAGAAATATGACCATGTTTCCCCTGCTTTTTAATCAACTGGAATGGTTATGATTGGACAACAAATACAAAATATGACACGTCTATTTTAGTTTATAAAATCTTGAATCATCACCTACCCCGATTGGCTATTTGATACTTCTACTTTAATGAAATAAGTGGAACCATCACAAAATAGACTAATAATTTGTTCGTAATAAGAACAAATACCCTGACACGCACAAAAATGTTAATGACGAGAGGCCACTAGTCTGGCACATGATTTCATCATAGGTCAAGAATACAGGTTCCCTTTCTGTTTTTAAAGATAGGTTTAAAAAGTATCTTCCGCACAGACAGATAATTTTCAAGATGATGTGATAATAACTGTGATATTAATAGCATAATGAATTATCCAATATGTACATCTTATGTCTACAAATTTTGCATTATTTTTTACATTGTATTGCCTACTTTACTACTGTATTTTTTATCATGTACTATTGCATTAATGTGCTGCTGAATTATCATATATCCTATTGTATCATTTTATGTACTATTGCATTATTGGATGTACTTTTGTATTGTTTTTAAGTACTATTAGAAATTATAACCAATTTAAATTGGAAATAAAGATTATAATGATAATAATAATAATAGTAATGATAATGATAATGATAATGATAATAATAATGATAATAATAATTCTCTCTATCTCTCTCTCTCTCTCCCTTGTTTTTCTCCCTCCCCCTTTCTCCTTCCTTCTCTCCTCTCCCTTTTTGTTTTTATTTCTTTCTCTTCTACCCCCTCGTCTCCTTTAATTCATTCCAGATCTCCTTTTCTCTCTATTTCTCCTCCACTTTCCCTTCCTCCCTTCCTTCTCCCCTCTCTACCACCTGTTATTTTTCTCTCCCCCTCTTTCTTTCTCTCCCTCTTCCCCACTTCTCACTCATAATTTCTCTCTCCCTCCCCCTTCTCTCCCCCCCCCTCTCTCCTCCACTCCCTCCTTTTCTCTCTCTCTCTCTCTCTCGCCTCTTTCCCCTTTTTTATTTCTTTATTTATTAATTTTTCAAATTCTTGAAGCCAAGCCAATTAAAACAACACTTTCGATTTTTTTTTATACTACTACTACTCTGCTTCTAACAAATCCTACCCTCAGGGACCCCTAAATTTCCCCTAAATGAGGGAAAAACCGCCCCTGAAGTTTCCATTCTTCCCTGCGGTAACTATGACTGTCATGGCCGGGAAGCGTGACGTCACTGTAGGCTTATTATGTAAATGGGGGACTGATTAAAACCTTAACTCAGAGGGGTAAAGGAACTTTCTGAGGCAAATTGTACCATTGTGTATTTTCTTTTTTTTATGTGTGGCCTTTGTGATTTATTGATGAATTTTGATGTAGATGTAATTATAGATGTTATGAATATGAATGTGAAAATGGATATAAATAATAACAAATTTGTATATAGACACACACACACACACACACACACACACACACACACACACACACACACACGCACACACGCACACACACACACACGCACACAAACACACGCACACACGCACACACACACACACACACACGAACGCACGCACGCGCACACACACACACACACACACACACAAAGAGAGAGAAAAAAAGACACATGCAAAAAAAAAAAAAAAAAAGTTGAAGGAAACATCAAAATTCAACATCACAAAAGAAACAAATGACCACCTCATCGACAAAGACAATCTCGAGTAACACAACGTTTTTTTTTTTTTTTTTTTTTTTTTTTTTTTTTTTTTTTTTTTGTGAAAAAGAGACAAAGACATTACAACAAAACAACGAATAAGGTTGACGCCGCTGATAAAAATCTACCGAGTTTTGATAATGTTCAGATGTGGGCGGGGTGGGCGGGGTGGGCGGAGGGGGCGGGGGGGGAGGGGGGGAGGGGGGGATGGGCGGTGCGGTGTTGTGGGGATGGGTGGGGAGGGGGAGGGGGAGGGGGTGGGGGAAGTGGACAGTGGGCTGGGGGAGGGGGGGAAGGGTACAGTGTTCTGGGAGGGGGAAGGGGGGGGAGGGTTCAGTGGGCTGGGGGGGGAGGGGGGGAGGGTACAGTGGGCGGGGTCTTGCCCTCAGGGGTCGAGGGGCGTGGCCGAGAAAATGGCCGGAAGTGGGGTTAAGATTTTTCGTGGGGATGGGTTAAGGGAAGGGGGGAGGGGGAGGGGGAGGGGGAAGGGGAAGGGGGAAGGAGGAGGGGGGAGGTGGGGAGGGTGAAAGGGGAGGGGGAGGGGGAAGGGGAAGGGGAAGGGGGAGGGGAGAAGGTGAGGGGGAAGGAGGAGGGGGGAGGGGAAGGAGGAGGGGGGAGGGGAAGGGGGAGGGGGAAGAGGGAGGGTGAAGGAAAGGGGGAAGGGGAAGGGGGGAGGGGAGGGGTGGGGGGAAAGGAGGAGGAGGGGCAGGGGAGGGGGGAAGGTGAGGGGAAAGGAGGAGGGGGGAGGGGAAGGGGGAGGGGGAAAGGGGAGAAAAAGGGGGTGATGGTAAGAGTATATGGGATAAAGGGAGAGAAAATGGTGAAGAGGGAAAAGGGGAGGGAAGGAAAGGGTAAAGGGAAGGAGGGGGGAAAGGAAGGAGGGGAGGGGAGGGAAAGGGGAGGAGAGGGGAAAGGAAGGAGGGGGAGAGGGTATGTATGAAAGAAAAGTTGTAAGAAGAGTTGTAGGGACCGTTGGGGGAGGGCTATTTATGAATACATGCACACACACACACACATATATCTATATCTATATCTATCTATCTATCTATCGATCTATCTATCTATCTATCTATCTATCTATCTATCTATCTATCTATCTATCTATCTATCTATCTATCTATCTATCTATCTATCTATATATGCATATATATATGAATATATATATATATATATATATATATATATATATATGTATATATATATATATATATATATATATATATATATATATATATATATATATATATATGTATATATATATATATATATATATTTACAAACACACACACACACACACACACACACACACACACACACACACACACACACACACACACACACACACACACACACACACACATATATATACATATACCCATATACACATAAATGAAAGTAAAATGAACGCACGAACGTCACAAACCGAGACACACGAGGAAATCGGCCGCGAATACATTTAGCCACAGGTGTCCAACAGGTGCATCCCGCGGAACCTCACAACGGCACCGGTTCCCAGGGTGGCAGCATTCCGGAATTCTGGGATGTTTCAGGTTCTGATAATATCGACGTGGGATTGGCAAGTGGTTTCCGGCCTTTTCTGATTACTGATATTATTATTATTATTATCATTATTATTATTATTATTATTATTATTATTATTATTATCATTATTATTATTATTGTTATCATTATTATTATTATTATTGCTATTATTATTATTATTATTATTATGATTATTATGATTATTATTGCTA